TATTGTTTAGTTTATATATATATATATATGTATATATATATGTATATATATAAACTAAACAATATGTCTCCTTTAGTGTATCTGTCTCCTCCACTAGATATATCTGTCTCCTTTGTTACATCTGTCTCTCTGCTGTCTCCTTCTGGGGCCCCCTGGGGCCCCCAGGGGGCCCCTAGGGGGCCCCCACACCCAGGGGACCCCAGGGGGCCCCCTTGGGCCCCCAAGGGGCCCCCTACAGGCTTCAGGGGGCCCCCTAGAGGGGTGGGGGGCCCCCCTATAGGGTATAAGGAAATTTATATATTTAACTTTCGTTGCAGCATCTGTTTGTTGTTTTGTTTTTTTTTTATTTGCCTGGATAGGGTTTAGGGTTTAGGGTTTAGGGTTTAGAATAAGGGTTTAGGGTTTAGGGTTTGAAGGAAGGGTTTAGGGTTTAGGGTTTAGGGAGAAGGTGGAGACAGAGGAAGGAGACAAAAGGAGACAAAAAGAAAAAACACAAATAAAAAGGAGACAGAAACAAAAAGGAGACAAAAACAAAAGGAGACAGAAATAAAAAGGAGACAAAGAAGAAAGGAGACAAAAGCAAAGGGGACAGAAAAAAAAAGGAGACAAAAAAAAAATAAAAAAGGAGACAGAAAAAAAGGAGACTGCAGCGGAGTGTGTATATCTCCAAAACTGTTTTATTATTTTTTTATATTTGTCTGTGTCTGTCTCCTTTTTGTTTGTGTATTATAAAGATAGCTGCTGAGACAGAAAAAAAAACTACCAAGGAGAGAGCAGCAGCAACCTGCTGCTGCTGCTGCAGTGAAAACTGTCTCCTTTTGTATAAAAGGAGACAGCAGCAGCTGTGCTGCTGTCTTTGTAAACCCCACAACACAGCAGCATAAAGGAGACAGTTGACGGAGACATCTATAAGTAGAGAGAGGGAGAATAGCAGCAAGACTGCCGCTCAGCAGCAGCAGCAGCAGCACATACAATACCTCCTCCTGCTGCTGCTCCTGCTGCTGCTGCTGCTGCTGCTGCTGCTGCAGGCGCTGCAGCAGCAGCAACGGCTCCTTGTGTGCTGCAGCAAGCAGCAGCAGCAACACTATACTCACAGCAGCAACACGCAATGCTAAAGACAACTCAATTCTCTCTCTTATACTACTCGGATCCAGTGGGGCCTCAATGCTGCTGCTGCTGCTGCTGCTGCTGCTGCTGCTGCTGCTGCTGTTGCTGCTGGTGCTGGTGCTGCTCTGCTGCTGTTGCTGCTGCTGTTGCTGCTCTGTTACTGCTGCTGTTGCTGCTGCTGCAGTGATCGTTTCTTGGTTTGAAGGGTGTTCTACTGCTGCTGTTCGTGCTGCTGCTGCTGCTGCTGCTGCAGCAGCAGCAGCAGCAGCAGCAGCTTGTGTTTGTTTGTTGAGGATTTCCTTTGCTAGGTGCATATACACCGCACCAGCAGCAGAAGCAGCAGCACCAAGACAGGCCGCATGCATATTCAGTGTCTTTCCTTCTGCTGCAGCAACAGCAACACCAGCAGCAACAGCAGCAGCAGAAACAATACGCAGACAGCCAACCCTTTTTATTCTTTCTTTTGTCTCTTTACTTTTTTTCTTTATTTCCTGCAGTCCATAACAAATCCAACCATCAGCTGCTGCTGTTGCTGCTGCTGCTGCTGCTGCTGCTGTTGCTGCTGCTGCTGTTGCTGCTGCTGCGGTCTCTGTTGCACTTTCTTCTGTTGCTGCTGTTGCTGCTGCTGCTGTAGCTGCTGCTGCAGTATCTGCTGCAGCAGCAGCAGGTTTTGCTGCAGTTCCTACATTTGTTGTTTGTTTCTTTGCTGCTGCTGCTGGCGTTGCTGCTGCTGCTGCAGCAGCAGCAGCAGCAGCAGCAGGCGGCAGCACATTGAGTATCTCCAGCAGCAGAGCAACGGGAACAGAAGCAGAACGAGCTAGATAATAAGAGGAGAGAGAAGAGACAGAGAGACAGCAGCTAGATAGCCAAAGCATCAATACATATGCAGCAGCTAGCTGCAGCTGCTGCAGAAAGGAGACACCCTCGAGAAAGGAGACAGATCGCTTGCTCCTGCTGCTGCTGCTGCTGCTGATGCTGCTGCTGCTGCTGCTGCTGCTGCTGCTGCTGTCATACAATGATACAGATTTATCACCAACATCCTGCTGCTGCTGCTGCTGCTGCTGCTGCTGTTGCTGCTGCTGCTGGGGGTGTTGCTGCAGTTGCTGCTGCTCTTGCTGCTGCTGCTGCTGCTGCTGCTGCTGGGGGTGTTGCTGCAGTTGCTGCTGCTGCTGCTGCTGCTGCTGCTGCTGCGGCTGTCTCCTTGGGCAAGGTATTTGAGCAGCTAGTAGCCAGAGACAGAGAACGACCTGCTGCAGCATGCAGCAGCAGATGGGTGTGTTTGCTGCTGCTGCTGCAGAAAGGAGACTCTTGTTGCAAATAGATAAAAGAGGAGACACAATGAAATATAAAAATAAATAAAAAAAAGAGACAATCAGGTCTCCATGCATATATGCTTTCTCCTTCTGCTCCTGTTTCTCCTTGCTGCTGCTGCTGCTGCTGCTGCTGCTGCTGCTGCTGCTGCAGTTGCTGCTGCTGCTGCTGCTGCAGTTGCTGCTGCTGCTGCTGCTGCTGCTGTCTCCAGCGGAAGGAGACAGCAGCAAAAAAGGAGACAGTTGCCGCCTTCTCGCCCTGGGTGCTGCTGCAGCAGGAGACAAACTGTCTCCTGTTTGAGACAGAACAAGAGGAGCAGCAACAGCAGCAGCAACAGGTGCAGCAGCAGCAGCAGCAACAGCAGCAGCAGCAGCAGGAGCAGCAGCAGGAGCAGCAAGAGATACAGAGACAGCAGCAGAAGGAGAAACAGATGCACAGGGAGGAGACAAAGGAGACATCTGGATGCAGCAATGCTGCTGCTGCTGCTGCAGCAGCAACAGAAGAAGCAGCACGAATTTCAGCAACACAGCAGCAGCAGCAGCAGCAGCAGCAGCAGCAGCAGCAGCAAATCACTGCTGCTGCTAAACCCTAAGATGAAATAACTCTTCTACAGCATTTAAAATATTAAAACACAAAAAACAAACAAAAATATTATCATCAACAAGCACAACAACAG